TTTTATTTTAAAACTTGGATTCAAAGATGATTTGTCTATGCAAACTAGCTACAACTCAAGCCAAACACTCCCCAGGACTCCTCACTAATTCCCAACTGCTCTGTACCTGGAGCAGCCTCCTGCCTCCCTTGCCTTGGCCCTGTGGTTCTGCCTGCAGTTAACAGCACACTAATACTTCCTCTTCCTTAGGTCTACTTCCCAAGCCACCTTCAGGGTGACTGATGCCTTCCTGGATCTCCCAATATCTGGTACCACCACCTTGGGAAGCCCTTGGGGCCCTCTCATTGGGCCCATCCTCTGCCCTGATGTATCTGGAAAGGCTGTCTACCTGGCATTACTGTTGGGAGCTGCATGTACACGCACCTGCCCCTACAAGACCAGCTCTCTTAGGTGTCATGCATACTCTCCTGCACCCCCAAGAGTGCTGGCACCTTGAAGAGATGTCAAGTTCATCGGATGAATGGGAGAATGCTAATCACACTGCCTAAGGTTTACATGGGGTCTACTATGTGCCTGGCATTGTTCTATGCACTTGCCATGTACTGACTCATGGGATTCACACAACAATCTTTTGAGACTATTATCACCCCCATTTTATACATGAGAAAATTGAGGCACAGAATGAAGTAACTTGTCCACCGTCATACTGCTGGTAAATGACAAAGCTGGATTCAAACCCTTCAGATGGACTCCAGAGTCCAGGCTCTTAACCTCTAGGCTCCCCTGCCTTGTTGTATGAATAAATATATAAAACTCCATGGCAGGAAGAGAGACGCCTGGGGCCAGGCTTGAGTGGGAGGCAGAGCTCATTTACCAAGCCAGAGCAAACACTCACCCTGGCCTCCCCACAACATTCCAACTTCCCTCTCCTTTGCTCACCTGTCAACAGTGAGGCTGAAAAAGCCATACACATTAGCTTTTCCAGCTGAGGAGTCTGCTAGAAAGTGGGGTGGGGCAGAGATTTCTGATAAAAGAGCAGTACCTCCGTCCTGGCTAGGTCCCTGCTTCCTGCCTCAAGACTGCTGAGAGGATGTGATACTGGGAGTCACAGCAACAATTTTGCAACCATGAGGAAGGGCCGAAAATGATTTCAGAAGCATACACTTGGGGCCCTAACACATGGAGCTGCTGAACCCATCCCAGAAATGCCTTTTCTCTGGGCTTCTGGCTAAAGAAGCCACTGTAAGTTGAGTTCCCGTTACTTATATTCCAGGCTGATATACAAAAATATTTAGAAATCAGTATGGCACAGGTAACATGAGGCAATCTGAATGGACGACAGCAGAGAAATGCCATCCTGGCTTGGACCAAATACCTGACCACGGGCTCCGTGAGGGTTAGGATTAATGTCAGCTTTGTTCATTGCTGTCTCAGCACCTGCAGTGCCTGGCACGGTAGGCACACAGTTAGCGTTTGGCGAGTACCTCTGAATGACGTCCCTGGAGACAGTGTGCGGTAGCCAAGAGCACAGGTACTAGGGTCTCACACACCAGCAGCTAAGTGCCAGCCATACTACCTCCCAGTTCCAAACAAGAACACCTCACCCTCAGAGCTTCAGTGTCATCCATATGCACCTCCCAGGGCTCTGGAGGCAGCTTCCACATCAGTATGTGTAGAATGCTGGGCACAGGACCTGGAGATGGCATGGTGTGCATGAGCTGCGAACACCATCAGCCTCTCACCCTGTTTCCTTCCAGTCAAATGGCTACCATGATTTGGCTCTCCTCTGATGAGACAAAGTCTGAAGAAATACAATATGAAGTACCCTGCAAGCAGATTTAGTTCTTATTTTTGTCTCAATGCAGTGCAGCCAGTAAAAGCACAGATTCTGAACACATGCCTGGGTTGGAATCCCAACTCTGCAGCATGACTGCGGGCAAGTCACTTAGCCAGTCTGTGCCTCAGTCACCTCATCTATAAAATGGAAATAAGAGAAGTACCTCCCTTTGCAGGGCTGACCTGAAGAGACAACAATACATAAACCTCTTAGAGCGGACAGAGCCCGGCACAGCAACCACAAGGAGTGGCAGTTGCTATTACTCCTGCTAGCAGTATGGACTCCCTAGATGTGTGATCTTGGGTAAGTTTTCTAACTCTCTGCCTTTCTTGTCTCTAAGATGGGGCTACTAGTAGTACATACCTCACAGGATTATTATGAGAATCAAGTAAGTTGACCTCTATAAAGTACTTGAAACAAGACCTGCTTTCCAAGAACACCCAGTTAATGTTAGCAGTCCTTGTGGTTTCTGACTGGGGCTCTCTTACATGACTGACCTCCTACACTTTTATTTACTGGTCACATACAGTTTAACTTCCTTGCCTGCCTACCCGCACCACCGCTCTCTCCTAGGCTCCCCCACCTCTGTGATGCATCAGCTCCAAGATGGTGCCCTGTACACCTTCCACTCCTACGTGCCCAGCGCCCAGCTGTGTGCAACTGCCCACTAACTGCCAGTTGGTGCTGCTCAGTGGTGTGACGTCCCTCTGGCCTGGGACACTGATGCCTCACACAGGGGTTCTCTGAGAACACCCCACCACTCAGAACCCTCCAGGCAAGCAGAACCGCTCTGCTGGCACTGAGTATCTTCTGGAGGGCTTTCCTTAGGTTGGGGCACAGCCCAGTCCTCTGACAAGAATAAGGGAGTGTCTGCTTGGGGGGTGGGGTGGGGAAGCCCCGGGAAGATTCCTCCAGCAAAAGAATTCTTAACCATGGGCAAACGGCCCTGAGCCTCCCGAGGGAGGCCTGTCCCGGGCACAGTGATCAGTAGTGGGCAGGCAATGTCCAGAGGGCTGCCTCAGGTTTCCCTGGTAACAAGGGACCACAGGGCCCAGGATGATGCTTATCACTAAGCACTGTGCCCCTGACCAGGCCAGTTAGACCCTCTAGTTTTCTTATCAATATAATGGGGCTCCATTGCCCACCCTCTTCCTGCCCCGCTGTGCATCGCAGGGGACTACAGCCAATCGGGGACAATGGCAGAAGCCCAGAAGGTGAAGGTGGTAAGAAGCTGGGGTGGTTCTCCCTCCTACCCTCTAATGTTTGTAGCACCTGAGGCACCCCCATGCCCTGGGCTTTGATGCTACCAACTCCCCCTCGTGTCTCTCCAGCACTGGGTGTCCATCTCAGGACTGCTTCCCTGACCTTGTCTGGTCCCTCTATTCCTCCATCACTCATCTAATTAAGTTCTTTGTATTGAATTCCCTTTACCTGAAATACGTCGAATGGATTCTCTTTTCCTGACAGATACACCTGCGCTGCTTAAGTTTTAGGGTCATCTGAGAACAAAGGGAAAAGAGGCACTTGGAGGGGAAAAGTGCCACACAAACCAAGGGTCACTTTATGAAAGGTCCTCCTCCCTCCCACACTGTCCCGGCACACTGTGCATGTGAAGTTTAAAACCCCCCAAAGCAAAATGACATGTTTGAGATCTGCTTCAAAATAACCCACAGGCAGGGGGATGGATGAAGCAAGCTTGGACCTGTGCTGATTACTATGGGAACTGGCGACAACTATGTACCTGCGGGCTCTGTACACTCTCCTTTCTACCTCTGTAAACATCTCAAGTTTTCCATTAATAAAACAGAACTAACAGGTAAGAGAAAAGAGGTTCCTATTTCGTTGGTTGAGCTACAAATCAGCAGAATCTTCTTTGAAGGCAACTTTTCATATAATTAAATGGATACCATGCCCACCCATGGACTCAGTGTTTCCAGTACCATTAGAAGTATAAACATGAATATAGCACTTTATCTATACGCTATATGTGTTCATAAAACTCCATAAGGTAGATACAGCTACTGTCTTCATTTTACAGGTGCGAAAACAGGCACTGACGGTCAAAATTTCATGTTGAAGTCCTAGCCCCCAATATGTCAGCATGTGCCTGTATGTGGAGATAAGGCCCTTGAAGAGATAAATTTGAAGAGAGACCATTAGGTGAGCTCTAATCCAATCTGACTGGTTTCCTTATAAAAAGAAACGAGGACACACAGACAGACTCCAGGTGCACATGTGCACAGGGGAGACCAGATGGAGACAGAGCCACAGGGCAGCCGCCCCCGCAAGCCAAGAAGGCCTCAGAAGCAACCAACCCTCCTGGCATCTTGATCTTGGACTTCCAGCCTCCAGAGCTTGAGAAAATAAGTCTCTGTTGTTTAAATCACCCCAATCTGTGGGATTTTGTTATGGCAGCAAGAACAAACTAATACAGTGGGTTACATGGACAGTAAGTGTGTGCAGCCAGGATTAGGCCCAGGTCATTGGCTCCAGAATCCACCCCCTTAACAATATGGCCACGCAGCAAACTGTTTACAACAGTATGTTCATCTCTGGAAAGTGAGACTGGGGGTGGGGTGCAGAGGAAGGTACACTTTTATACATAAGTACATATATATAGTGTGTGTGTGTGTATATATATATATACATAAACACACACAGTATATATATACTTACAAAAATATTTTTATATACATATATATAATATATACATACAAAAGAATACCTTATATATAAAAGTATACTTTCACAATGTTCAACTTTTTTAAAAGTCGCATATATTTTTAAAAATTAGAGCTAAAACCGCATACATGGAAATGAACATATGCCACCCACCCAATGAGGGAGAAAGGAATCTACTCAGGCCTGATTTGCTTTTTCCCATGTTTCATTACATAGTCTGTCATGGTTCCTAAGGAGCCACCAGAGAGAAGCCAGGAAAGCCTCCACAGGCAGACATTCTGGTAGGAATTAAAAGAAAAGAGAGGATGAATTATTTGAAATTTTAGAAGCTTTAAACACTAGGTGGTAAGGATGGCACTATGATAACTGCTGGTATCTTCCTGTCCTATCAATACTAGATACTGTCTGAAGTGCTTTATCTGATTTATCTCACTGAATCCCCCAAATACCTTAGGATATAGATACTATCATCATTCCCACTTTCTATGCAAGGAAGCTCTGAGGCTCAGAGAGACTAAGCAACTTGCCAGGCTGGAGGGCAGCGGCAGGGTTCCGATCCAGCTCCAGAGCCCGCCCCAAAGACCGTGCCTTCCTGCTTCGCCTTGCCTCTGAACGGACCACTCAGGGAAGAGGAAGCTTCACAGTACAGGATGAGGCAGCGGGGGGAAGCAGAAGAGCAGCGAATGGTGATAAGCTGGATCCTCCTGTGCTTGGGGACAGCAGCAGCCTGGCTACCCAGGGGGAAGACGGAATGCCCGTCTCCTGTCACAGCGAGGCCCATGGATATAAACCCCGGCGGTCCAGAAGGACACAGGTACTTGGGTGTCCACTGAGGCACTGTCTGCCGTGGCATGGGGGACTAGAAATAGAGGACTGGCAGTGCATATCACGTACAACTGTTCAGTGGGCAGATGTGACACCCTGGAGCACACAGAGCAACATGGCTGATCTCAAAATCATGCTGTTCAGAAAAATCAGAAGAAAGAGGAGGAATGAGATAGGGAGCCCAAAACCATTTCTAGAGAGCTCTTTTCTCAGACCTCAGTATACATACTTGCAAGGATCTGTATGGAGCTATAGACACACCACAAACACCTCAGAGCAGGGGACAGCAGGAGAGGAGGGTGAAGAAGGAAAAAGTAACCACAAAAAACAGACCAGGGACAAGGGAGGTGGCTCATGTTGTTTCCCCTGACAAACAGTCACGGGAGCCAGACTCGACCTGCCTCCATTTGTGGGGTTGTGTAAGGGTGGAAGAAGAGGCAGAGGCGGAAACTAGACACAAATCACTGCTTCTTCAGAAGAAAACCACACTTTTTTGTTCTCAAATGCCATGATCTGTTGGGCTTGACACAGTTTGTTAACCTAAGGGAGCCTCGGCCGGCGCCTGAATTGGGAGCTTCCCCAGCTGGGACAGGCATTTGGTTGTCTACTTAACACCGACTCCCCTCTTGTACAGGACCCAAACTGGTCAAAGGAAATCGGGCGTAGCGTTCATCTTGTGGTTTGATTGGCTTGGTGATGGGGGACATGACCTAAGCTGGCCCAATCATGGACTAACAGTAAGTATTTATGACCCATAATGAATGGGCCATTTTCTCTCTTCCCTGATGTCTATGGACAAGAATGCAAGTGGCCCTGATCATCACTGGCAGCCATCCTGGGACAAAGAGGCCTATATATGACATAGATGTGTGTGTGTGTGTGTGTGTGTGTGTGTGTGTGTGTGTGCGCGCGCGCGCGCACGCGCTTGTGTGGGTATCTAGGATAAAGCTAATGCTGAAGTCCTGAGTCCTTGACGACAGACACTTGTGCTTTTGATCTCACCCCCCTAACACCCACCCACCTCTGGTCTTCTAAGACACATTAAATGCTTTTACTATTTGTCCAATTGATGTCAGAGAGTTTTGTTAATTGCAAATAAAAGCCTCCTAATGGAGACCTGCAAACTAGACAGCCATTTTTTTATTGTTAAACAAGGAAAGCATCTCTGCAAGAGGGAACTGGGGCACCAGAGGCACAAACAAGAAGGGACAACAAATCCCAATGTATGGGGAGCATTTACAGCTCTCAAGTTGCTTGTCCTCTGCCTGTCCAGAAGGCAGCATGCCCTTGATGTCAGCTGCACTGTCCTTTGAGCACAAGGGCCCAGAAAACCTTCCTCAGTGGGTTACTTCATTTCTTTCATTCATCACAAGAGCTGAGCCGCAGCCAGTTTCCTGTGTTCTATTTCTTCTGGTAGCGGCAGGGGGTTAATCCCCAGCTGGCTGCAGCTGAGGATGAGACAGGACAAGAAAGCCCAGCCCGGCTCTCCTACAGAGACTCTGCTCCTGGATGAAAGGTCGGGCTTCTGGATCTGGGCTACCCTAAGATCTGACTATGGCTGGGCTCTCTGAAATGCCGCGCAGCCTGAGGACCTCTGTGAAGAGACCTCACCTGTGCAGCGTGTCACAGACCCATCAGAATCAAGGGGAAGCTCAAGAGAGATGAAGGGGAAGTCAGGGGACCCTGGAGTCGGTGCTGGGTGCCAGTCGCTGCTCTGCTGCTGGGTAGTCCTGTGGCCCTGGATGGACAAGTGGCTTCACCTGAGTTGCCTCATCTATAAAGCATGTCACATAACTGTTATGCAAAGCAAGTAAATTAGCATGGGTAAAGTGCTAAGCAAGGACCTGGCACAGAGTAAAGGCTCAATAAATGTGAGCTATTTTATCATATATCTAATTACTGAAATGTAATTACATACAGCAAAATGTACTGGTTTGATGAATCTTGACACGTCTATGCACCCATTAACCCACACCCCCAACCAAGCCACAGAGGCTGGGGATGACGTGTATTAACTGAGCACCTTGTTCCCTCCCGGTGTTCCCAATCTCAGGGAGGGGACCCACAGACACATGTGTGTTTGGGGCCTTGTGGTGGCCAAGGGGTGATTGTAAAGCCACTTCTTTCTCCATACTGATGAGGCTGGAGCCAAGGCACCTTCTTTATACACAAAGTAGCTTTCGAGTCCCCGAAACTGGACGGCCAAAGGAGGAGAACAGGCAGGTCAGGATCCGGGAATCAACCCTGATCTCCTCCCCGGGAGGCTGGTCCGCAACACCTAAAGGCTGTCTGTCCCGCAGGCTTGCTTGTCTCCACTCAGGGGCCCTTGCCGTAGCCCCTGTTCACAAGATTCTGCGACCCTGTCTCTCTCTGGCTGTCAGTTATTTAAAATGCAGAAGTGGCCAGGCCCCTCCTGTGCCTGACCACCTTCCCTAGTAGGCCCTCAAGAAAAACTCTAAACTCCTCCCTATGGCCTACAGGCCATGCTCTGCCCTGCCCATCTCCCAGGCCTCTGACTGGAACCACCCCCCACTCCTTCCTCTCCAATCTCACTGGCAACTTTTCTAAATAGAATTTTTACTGAGTAACTGCAGACTCACATATATTTGCAAGACAGAATACAGAGATACCATATACACTTTAACCAGGTGGAAAATGGTAAAACTCCACAAAACTGTGGTATAATATCATAACCAGGATCCTGACACTGATGTAATCTATGGATTTTACTCAGATTCCCTGTGTTCATGTGTGCATGTGTATTCAGTTCTATACAATTTTATCACATGGTATATATTGTGTAGCCACCATCACAACCAAGATATGAACAGTTCCATTACCACAAAGAGGCCTCAGGTGATCTTTTATAACCTTGCCTACCTCCCTGCAACCCCAGCTGCCCCCTTCTCTGTCCAGAACCCAGCAACCACCTATCTGTTCTCTCTCTGTATACCTTTTGCCATTTAAAAATATCATATAAATGGAATCATACTGTATGTACGCATTTAGGATTGGCTTTTTTCACTCAGCACAATTTCCCTGGGTTCATCCAACTTGGTGCATGTATGAATAGTTTGTTCCCTTTTATTGCTGAGTAGGATTCCATGGTATGGACGTGGTTTCCACGGTATTCCAGGGTTTGCTTAACCATTCACCTGCTGAAGGCTATCTCGGCTGTCCCTGGTTTGGGGCTATTATGAATATGGCTGCTGTGAACAATTGTGTACAGGCTTTTGTGTGAACGTTAAATCTTATTTCTTTCGGATAAATGCCCAAGAATGCAATGCCTGGGTCGTAAGATAGTTGCATATTTAATTCTTAAGAAATAGCCAATCTGTTTTCTAGAGTAGCTGTGCCATTTGACATCCCACCAGGAAAGTATGACAGATCCAGTCTCTCCACATCCTTGTCACTGGCAACTTTGGTTTGTTCATTCAGCAGACACTTACTGAGCAGCTCCCATGTGCCAGGTACTATTTTGGATGCTGGATTTATAGCAACAAACAAGACATGTAATTTGTATATCAAATAGGAGTTCTCATGCTAAAGCGTATAGAGAGGCAATTTGTAAGTCAACAAACTGATTATGATAGATTAAGAAGCAAATAAACCAGGTAACATAAAGAGAGTATGTGCATGTGCCAGGGGACTGGACACGCAGAGTCACAGCATAGTGACTATGAAGCCAAACGGCCTGGGTTTGAATCCTGCTCTGCTACTTTCTAGCTGTGTGGCTCAGACCACTGACCTAACTTGTCTGTGCCTCAATTTCCCCATCTGTAAAACAGACAGTACCTATTTCATAGGGTTGTTGGGAAGATTAAGTCAATACTTGCAACATACTTAGCAGCCAGGACCACACCTGGCTAAGGGTCTCACCTGGTCTAAGGGTCTCTAGAAGAACATCTCAACCACGGGGGCGCCATTGCTAGGAAGCCACAGTTCCTTTGTGGGATTCCTGAGACACAACGCACCCAAGTGTTCAGAAGGGAGGCTCCCTCACCACGGGGTCAGAGCCCATCTTGCCCTGGGAGGGGGAGGCCATGTGTACAGCAGAGGAAGGGACAGACAGCAAGGCCACTCCAAGCACAGCAGCTACCCAGATGCAGGACTGGAGGAGCTGCTCAGGGTACCTGGGCCTCCCCACTTCCCGGGAATCTGACACCATTCCCAGGCTGGAGTGGGGCTGGACTCATCTGAGCCCTTGCTGTGGGGCTGGAGCACAGGGCCTCCCCAGCTCTCAGCCCACAGAATGCCTGTGCAGTGCGAAGGAGACAAAGGTGATCAGGGAACTCCCCTCCCCACCCTGTCCCGCCCTCCCCAGGGCCCGGCCCCAAAGAGAGAATCCAGGGAAGCATGTTGCTTGGCATCTTAGAAAAGAAAGAGGGAAACGGAAAGGGGGTACTTTTGGCAGCTCCAGGTCTGGGAGGAAACAAGGTCATCTTTGCAGGGGAGGGCCAGGGTCCCTCTCTGAGAGGACGGGATCATGAGTCAGCGAGGAAATAGGCAGAGCTGCTGTGACCTGTTTTGCAGGCCTCCTGGTGGCCTGGGATGGATGAGCAAGCTGCTGCTTTCCTAGGGACTGATGAGTCTGGAACCAGAGCACCGGCTCCTTATATAAAGATCCTCTCAACCCTGCAGACCGAACCAGAGGACAGACAGCACGCTTCAGGGTGCCATGTGGTGGGCAAGGACTGGCCTCTCTGACCCTGACCCTGGCTTGCAGCAGTTGGTACAAACTGTCCTGGGGGAGGAAGGGAGTCACGACACCAAGCTTTGAAAGTACACACCGGAGTTAAAAACCAAACCAGACTGTGTCATTTGTTCTCCTTAAAACCCTTTCCTGGCTCCCTGGAGCTGTGGAAGAAAGTCCAAATCTCTAACAATGGCCAGCAGGCCTAGGACAGCCAGCCTGCTGACTTCCCATCACTCTGCTCAGGCCACGCAGGGCTCTGGTGCCTCCACCACATCTCAGCTCCGTCCCATCTCAGGCCCTTTGTACAGGCTGCACTCCCTGCTCACAAAATGCCCTGGCCTCCAGTCCACCCTGGGCAAGTTCCTATTTATCTTTCAAGTCTAGACTTGCTGGCACCTTGGAGAAGCCATCTCAGACCCTCCTAGCCTCCCCCAGCCTCAAAGAAGACCCCCACTTCATACCCTGTTAGTCTCTCAAGGAACTCTGGGCTCTTAGAGTTTAATTACCATTAAATTACGTGTTTATTGGAGTGGTTATTTGCTACCTGTCTTCCCCACTAGATGGTGAGTGCCATGAAGTCAGAATAATGGTAATAATATTATTACTTTTAACAACAGCTCCCATTTATTAACACCTACTGTGTTGTACAGCATTACCTCACAGCATTACCAACAGCTCTTTGAGGTCAACACCACTATTATCCCACTTTAGAGCTGAGGAAGCTGTGTCAGTCCTGCCCACGAGACCAGGCACTCAGTAAATGGTCTGGGACCACCCACGAGTCTGGATTACAGTTCTGATCACTCCTTCCCCGTAATCCCAACCAGGGAGTCCACGGGGCACTGAAGTCCCTGTCCATAAGGCAGATTTCTGCCACTCCCTGGGGCAAGAGCCTCTGATTCCAAGGGCCCCTTTCAGTTCTAACCCCATCCCAATCTGAGAAGACATTAATTTTACACATTTTTATTGTGGAGTTATGTTGAGTCAGGTGTGACCCAAGCACTAGGACATGGCAATAAACAAAACCCACAGGGCCACACCTTCACACGGCCTGTGTCTGCTGGGGAGGTGGACACAAGGCCCTATCCCTCTCCAGTAAAAAGATCAAAGGCTGTCAGGGGGAGGGGACAGCACGAGGAATGAACAGGTGAGGACAGGCCGCGAAACTGTTCTGCACCAGACTGTCATGGTGGCTCCAGGTCTTACATCTGTGAAAACCTGCAGAACGCAGAACCCAAAGAGCGTGCCCTAATGTCAACTATGGACTTCAGCTAATGAGACTACGTCAGTATTGGTCAACTGCAACAAACGCATCACACTCATCAAGATGTAAGTAACAGGCAAAAACTGTGTGGTGGGAAAAGAGGGAGTTGGTTTGTGGGCACTCTCTACATTACGATCAGATTTATGTATATCTAAAACTGCTCTTTAAAAACAACTTAAAAATAATTTTAAAAAATTAAAAAATAAAAAGTCCTCTCTTGAACCCGCTCCCATTAGCTATTTGTCCCTCATATCACCTGACCTAGGAGTCATTTCTGGACCTTTGCCTGGCCTCAGGGGCTCCATTCTCTCCTGCTCTCTTCCCTCCCACTGGCACCCCCTTCCTAGCCACCTTTGCTGATTCCTCACCACCAAAGACGCTGGACAGCTTTTCTCTTTTCCACCCACACCCCTCCCCTGGTGATCTCATCCAGACCCCTGGCTTTCAACTCCATCTCTTTGCTGAGGACTCTGTTTCCTTCTCCAGCCTGACCTCCCCCTTCAGCTCCAGACTTGCATATTGTGTGGCCCCCTAGCAAGCTCACACAGTTGTCTAAAAGGCACCTTAACTTTTTTAACAGACCCAAAGCAGTATTCTTGATTCTTCTCACCACCTTCACCTTCTTCTGAACCTCCATGCCAGGGGGTTCTCAACCCAATGTCCTCCTTCTGGTGTTCAGGCCAAAACTTGGTAGCACCCCACCCCCAACCCCATTCATACTGTCAGCTCCACCTCCAAAATATGACTAGGATCTGCCTACCTCGCTCACGTGTCTCCTGCCTGACTGTGGGTAGAGCCTCTAGCAGCCTCCCGCCACTGCTCCCACACACGGCCAGGGAGACTCCGTTCACGTGAGTCAGATCACGCCCCTCCCCCTCTCAAAACCCTCCCACTACCCATTTAGGAAAAAGCCCCAGTCCCTACATGGCCTCGCAATTCTCTGACCTCCTCTCCTCCTGTGTTGTCCTTTATTCTGGCCGTTGAGGTGGGTGCGCCATGGTGTTTCACTCCGGCTATCACCTACATTTCCATGATGATGATTAAGGATGGTGAGGTATGCGCTTTAAATAATAATAACGTACACCGCACTAATTACGTGCCAGGCACTGGACTGAGTGCTTCATATACACAGTTGTCAGATCCCTTTCCAAACCCCTTAGACCAGATGGGTTTTGGAATCCCAGATAATTTCAGAAAGGCAACAGAGAGTTTATTTCCTGGCAGTCTGGGGGAGCATCCATCACATTGGTATTTCTGCAGCAGTCATAGTCTCTCAGTTGGGGTCATGTTCCTCCTGGGACTGTGGATCTGCACTAAACCCTTGAATCCCCACAACCACTTTATGAGGTGGGTAGTATCATCAACTATAGTTTGAACATGAGTGAAATTGAGGCACCGGAAGGCTAAGTGCCTTAGCCATAGTCACACAGGTGGACGTGAAGGGCTGGGTGAGATTCCAACACAGGCTGTTCTTGCTACCATCCGTTTTTGCTATGCCTGTTCTGAGGGTAGCTAATGGGATTAATCAATGCTGAGATTAAGCTGGGAGAGTCAGAGAATCAGGCTTTCCAAATCGTTATTGCTCACAGCAGGAAGGTCAAACACCACTGAGCTAACTGTGTGTGTTTAACCTAATTAATTTATTTTGAATACAAGATTTACCCAAATATAAAGGAAGATGTCCTCCAAAGCATGATCCTCGAGAGTCGCCTTTCAGAGTTTTCATATTACTTTATTTTGAAAAAAAAGTGCTGTTTGAAAAAGACACTTTAGCATCTAAAGACTAAAGGATGCTAGTTTTGGCAACAATAAAAGAGGAGGCATTTACTGTAAGACTTAGGAAATATTCCCAAGGGCTTGACTTCAATTCTAAGCATTATAAGTCACTTAAACAGGCCATAGGGACAAATAATTGTAAGCAACATTCATTTAATTTAAAGAAAATATTCGATATAAAAATTATATGTAGAGAGGCATTAAAGTGGAATTTCGAAAACTGAAAAACAAAATGTGCAAGGTAAATGGAAAAACTGTCTTGAAGCAAAGTGCCACAGTGTGGGATGAAATTCAATTTTCATCAACTGTCATTTATTATTCATATTGGAATGATTAGTCTCACTCAAAAACAAGTGCTTATGTAACCATTTTTTTATGTTCACATTTATTCATTTTCACTGTCTTTAAAGAAACATGCTTTATTTTTTTAATGTAACAGTAAATTAGTGGCTCTACTTTAGAGATCACCAATATACAACAAAAAGGGGAATATTTTTAAAACTGTGTAATGGTATGTGACTGGATTATTAAGGCGTGGGCGAGCTGCCAGATTCAGGAAGTGCCACATCATGCATGTTTCAGACGGATGTGAAGATGGTGTACTGTGAAAATACGCACAGGCGACTCAAAAAGTGACTCGACTGATTTAAGGATGCCTGCGAAGAGTGTTTTATGATATGTGAGAGGATACAATCAACAGTTTGAACTCACATTTCTGATATCATGTTCTAAAATGTGTCACAAAATGAATAAATTACTAAATATAAGTAGGCAGTAGTATCCTAAACATTTCAAGGAGGCCCCAGAGCTTTTTACAAAATCTTCTTTGAAAAAAAAAAGGGAAATCATCTTGTTTTAAGACATATATGGTATTTTTTTTTTCTTTTTAGAATGAGTATTGAAAAAATTTGGAAGGAACATACCAGCTTATAAAACTGACTAACTACCTCGGAGGATTCTGGGTCCTTCGGTTTCTTTTTTTAAACAAGTTAAGTATTCTTTTAATAATCAGGCATGCAAACAAACAAACACAGCTTTACAGAAGTGAAGCTCACCCAAGGATAGATAAAGTAGTCCTCACCCTTGGCCGCACCCTAGAAACCTCCAGGGAGCTTTAAAAAATAACATCCCACGCCTGGTCCCACCTTCAGTAATTCTAATGAATTGGTCTGGGGCGAGGCCCAGCAGGCCTCGGGGTTTCTTACAGCTCCCCACAGGAGTCTAATGTGCAGCAAGAATTAAAATCATTATTCAAGAAAAATTTTTCAAATTTTTCTGCAGATCATGTTATTAAGGGCCTTTCAGAAAATAAGAAGGCTCCAGTCAGAAAAGCAGGTTTCTTCCCTGCAGGATTTCTCAGCACCTATAATACGCAAATGTGCACTGTGGCTCTCATAAGACACAGTACAAGGTGGACATCCAAGCGTGCGTGCGTGTCTGATCGTGCATGTGTCAGCTGCCTTCTTTCAAGCAACTGTGCCATTCGCGAGCTGTGTCCACTTTACCTCCTGAACCTCCACTTGCCCCACCCTGTCCCGTCCTCCATCTGCTCCCGTGGACGGGACTATAGCAGTAGCTCCTCCCTGCTCTCCCACTGCCCCTACAATTTGTCACCCACAGAGGCAGCCAGCAGAGGTACTTGGGGGCACACACAGTTTGAACAAGCTTCTGCTCTGACCTGGGACTGCCCGCTGTGTCCTTAACTGTCACACTTAGACTGTGGACAGGACCTGCCTTACAGTGAAGACAGCATCAGGGACGGCAGTGCTGTGGCAGAACGAACCTGGGTCCCCGATGCCATTGTTGAGCTGCCGCGTTCCCAGCCTATAAGGTGGCCCAAAGAACCCTTAGCCTTGGAGCTGGGGAGCCTGCCCACTTCCTGACAGCTTAATCCAGCATGATGGGGTTTTCTACTACTTGTAGCCAAAGCACCCACAGCACCCAGCATGCTCTCTGTTCAATTACCCTATTTACTGGTTATACATTTTCGCCAGGTAAAATGACCTTATACGTTTTTCTTGCTTATTGTCTGTCTCCTCCTTTAGAACATCCCCTTCATGAGAGCACGCATATTTGTCCATCTTCTTCACTGCTCTGTCCCTAGAACCTGAAACCCTGCCTGCCAAAGGGACAATTCAGCATATGTCCAAAGAATAAGTGAGTTCAATTCTTGTAACAGCTCCAAGAGGTGAGTGCTAAATACCAAGCTCTTCCCCACGCCATGCAGACCCTGCATGGTCTGCCCCCACCTATCTCCAACTCACGATCCTGTGGTTATGCTGGGGCTTCTTCTAGTTCCTTCTCAGAGGCAAGCTCCTTCCCACTCCAAAACTTTGCTGGTGCTGTTCCTCAAGGGAACGTTCCCCCTTTCCATTAAGGCCTTCTCAGCCTTCAGGCCTCCTGTCAAATGTCAGTCCTTAGGACAGACATCCCCTGACCTCTCAAAACATGTCAGGCCCCCCTCAGATAAGGCTCTCGTGGTTCCTCCATTGGACATTTAGTGCAGATGTAATTACACAGCTGTTTCTGTAATTACTTACTTAGATTCCATTTCCTCCATTGAAATAAGAACTCCAGGAATGAAGGGACCCCCCTGTATTTCAGGAGCCCTTAAAGGGCCTGGCACACAGTAGGTGTTTAATAAATATCATACCTGTCCATTGTAGCCAGGATATTTGTTGCTCACTGAGTATTCATATGCCCTCCACATTTCCAGCCCTTGCAGTTAGGCAGGGCCATGCAACCAGTTCTGGGTGTGAGCAGAAATGAACTGTATCACTCTGGGCCGTGGCATCAAAGCACTACTGCGTGACTCTCCAGTCACCCCGTCCTGCCGTGATGACTCTGGGTTGTGTGTTCCAGTCGGGAGGCTTCAAGACTGAGCCCCTGAGGTACAAGGGAAAGCCCCCCATATC